GCGAAAGTTTTGTTAAACACTCCACCTCGGAAAAGGAGTAGAAAAGGAAAGTAGTTTAAACTCGTATATAATCACCTTAAATATTTTAGAAAACAAAATCACCACTTGAAAAACTGACTTTCCTGATAAAAATCAACGCCAACTGTTAGGGGCGAAAGGGTTGTATAACTTGGTTGACTCAACTAAACTAGTTAAAAACCATTGAGAAAATTATTTTACTAACAAGGAAAGAGTTAACCATATAAATGCGGAAGGGAAATTAACTAAATATGAAGAGACAGTCGGCGACGAAATAAATTTGAATTGAGACCAAGAAGCAATCGACCTAGAAACAACCGACTACCTAGCATTAAAAGTGGTTTGTCAATTACTACATGATATTACGGGGACTACTAATGATAATAGAGAAGAAATCGCTCTTCGAGTTGTAAATTTAGCGGGAAATACACCAGAAAATTTGAAAACTGAAATAAATAAAAAATGAACCGCTAAAATAACCGAATTAGAGGCCGCCAAAACTGCCAAAGAAGCCCAAGATAAAATTGAAGCAGCGATTAATGAAGCCAAAAACAATGACAAATCCGCTCAGATAAAAACGCTTTACGATAAATTGATAGCCCTCAACGAAACCGAAAGCGAACACGAAAAAAAAGTCCTAACCGATAATGCGGCTTTACAGACCGAATTAAATGACACAATTGCTAAGTTAAACGAACAAATTACTCTTTGAAACCTTTTCTTTGCCGATTACCGAATTACTGATAAAGAAAGTTGATATACCGCCTTTCCGGCGATTGATGCGGCTATCGGTTATGAAGACAATAAAGCCCGCAGTTTATACAACAAAAAATTAGAGTTTAATTGAAAGAGTTGAGATAGTGATACAGAGGAACCAGTAGAAATTGAAATTACTGATTTAACCGAAGCGGAAAGAAACAGGATAACTGCTGACGACAACACTCCGGAAAAAATTAAAAAAGCCCGACAAGAAATCATTACTAACTACCAAAAAGACAGAACAGAAAAAAAAGAATTAGTAAAGCAAATTACCGATACTCTCGCTAAATTTCACTCGGTGAGCGGAAATAATGCGGAATTAGAAACATTAAAAGAGAAAATCAAGGCTGATTATGATTCGTGGAAATCAGAAGAAACCGCACCATCTCTGAACCATTTTGAAGCCCGATACATAAAATCCTTGGATATTTTTGTGATTTTGAATAATATAGACAAGGCTATTGGGGAAAATGAGAAAAGAGAAAGAAGGAAGAAAGAAAATGATTTTATTGCAGACTTTAAATCTATGCTACTAAACAGCGACCGAAAGGATGCCGATGGTGCTTACAATGATTGAGCCGTGCCACCTCCAAGTCGAGAAGAAATCCTAGCCTATAATATATTCCCTCATACTGATGGGCGAACAATGGGTAATCTTTGCCGATTGGGTTGGCAGTGTAATAGGAACGAAATTAAGACTAGCACGCCAACTGCCGAAGGTGATAGTCATACTGTTGCTGACAAAAAAAATGAAGATATTGCTGAAAGTTATCTTTACCAACGCGATAATTCATTCTGGGTTAATTACCGGGGAATTGTATCCCATTCAGCGGAAAATTGAAGCAAAAATCAATTAGATTACTTAAACCAATTAGTTCACTTACAAAACGTAACCGCCGGAGAAAATTTGCCGGTTAATTGAACTGGCTATCAAGGTTGACAAAACCGAGCGGAAAGTTTAACCGCCGAGCAAGTTAACACAATTATTAGAAACGGTTGGGAAAATAGAGATTTTGCGCTCGCCCCAAATGCGGAAGGAGAATGATTAACTATTAATGAATATGAAGGTCGACGCTATAATGTTTTAACCGAAGAAAAAGGCCTAATGGTAGCCCGAGCGAATGCCAAAAGTAGAGTTGAGCCAGAGGAAAAACCTATTTTCGACCATAAATTATTAGATAGTGCAGATGCGATTAATGCCACCGAAGCACTTTTGAGACTAATTAAAAAAGCCTCTGAAATTACCACTGCTACCGCTAACCAAGCCCAAACATTATTGAGTGATATAGATAATAATTATAAAAAACAACCCGATACCACCCCTGCCAGAAAAGCCTGATTAGCAATAAATGACACCGAAAGCCTGATTAATTACTCCGACCACCTAAATGAACTAGTATTATTACACGATGCCCGAGAAAAAGCAATCGAAAAAGATACCGAGGGAAATCCTTGGAATCCAGAATTAAGTCCTAGCGAACTAAAATTATTTGCGGCGACTTACCTTAATGAGGAAGAGGAGGAAACTCCCCTCGAAGAACATTGCTTAGTCGAACTTGATACCGCCGAAAAAGTCCAAATGGTTCACCGAATGCTAACTGTTTTACGTTCTTTTGTTAATTGCCCCTTAGATGAATATAATGATATTAATAACTTAAAGGATATTTCTATTTTAACTTTTGAAATTTTAGATGCTAAAAATGAAGAATGAAGTGAGGTAGAATACATTATAGAAATTGGAGGAGACCAAATTAGTGTCGCGGATATTATTGACCGAAAAACGGGAGGAAAAGTTGATGAATTAAGAGAGGATACAGGTACTTTATGAGAATGATTTAGATTTTTTATTAAGCACCGAATTATTGCTAATGATAAAGCGACTATAAACAATATAGGGAAAGAGTGAATTAATGAGTTTAAAAAAGAATGGTTAGAAGCCAAAAAAGTTTACCGAGATGCTCTCCAAACCCCTTTGCCTGATTTTCCATATAGTTCAATTCTATCCACCATCCAAGATAGAGATAAAATTTTCTACACCAAGCGAAAAGAGGACATTCCCAATTCTCAACGAGAAGTGTCCTGAGACCAGTTTTTCCGGGATAGAGGAATTACTGATGTCACAGAAAAAAACGATTGAAAAATAAAAAGTGAATTAACTGTGGCCGAAGCGATTATTGCTTATGATATAAATCACTGAACGAAACTAAACTGACCTGAAATTACATTTCTAGGAGACAAAAAAGTCAATATTGCTACTATCGGGGAGGCTAAATTAATGGAACATGATTGAACTGAAATAGTTAAGTGTCATGAGTTTCTAAACAAAATTGACGAGGCTGTTTACCGCGGAGAATTACCAAACAAGGATGATAGAAATGAAATTGACGAGAACAAAATTCCCCGAAATCGAGCCTGAATGCTTACTCAGTGAACGGAGAAAGATTTCCGATTTTACTCAGACAAATTTAACGAAGGAAATGAAGGAGATGTCCCAAGCGGACTTCATTGAACCGAAATAGAGAGTTGATACCGAGCCGAAACTGGTTTACCAAAAGACGGAACCTCCGAAAGAACTGCTTTAAAAAATGGTTGAGAATACGGAGAAATTGAAGCGGAACAAGCCGACTACGAAATTTATGACTTAAATATAACCGATAATAATGTTGAGGAAAAAATAATCAAAGTTAAGGTATTGGAAGTAAAAAAAGCAGAATTAGACAAGGCTAAAAATTTAATTGAATTAATTAAAAACTACGGGGATTGAAACGATTTGCCGCCGCCAGGAAGTTTCGATGCCGAATTAGTTACTTGATTAGGTGATTTAACTACTGATAATTTATTACCTCCTAATTATAAAAAAAAGGATTTAACTGATTTTGTGAATAATTGGTTAAAGAGATTATTTGATAATGATTTCATTTCTCAGTTTGCTAACCAAGAAGGAGAGGCGAGAACTTTTGCTAATAATCCTGATAATCGGGCAGGAGTTTTAGCTTACCAAAAGACTGGTACTGGTTTAGGAGGCGAAATTGAAATTAGTGGGACACAAGCTGGTATAATCTACAATAATGGTTGAAAAACCCCTAACCTAATTAAGTTTGATGATGAAGGCGGTATTATTATTCCCTACCAAGAAAGAGATTTTTACCCTCTAACTACTTCATTCGCCCAAGCCCAAAAAGAAATTTGGATTGATGCTTTTCATGGGTGACCTGTCTCT